TACAACAACAAACTTTAATTGATCGTAGCGCGTCATCTCAAAACTATCTTGAAGTTCGAGATGCTTGAAGTGAAGTTTGATAAGTCTCCAAGATGCCAAACAAATGTCACCAGCGCTTTCTGAGAGGCCAGAAAAACGCATATGTTGAGTTTTTTCATAAAAGAATGTGGATGCATGGAAAGATAAACTGACATTTACGACGTTACATTTTGAACAGAGAAAAAAAGTATGGTTCATACCAATGTGATCTGAACTTTTCTAAAGCGTGAGCTTCGGGAGTCTCACAGCAAACGAAATTGACATCTTACCTCTTCCAACAAAAAGAGTTATCACAAACAACCGCACTACATCGTCGAAGCATAAAGGTCGCAAGAAAGGTCTTGTTGAAGAAAAAAAATGTCTTTGACGTCTTTCCATTTCCATATTATTTTTTTGCATTTTTTTTTGTAAAGTTCCAAAACTCATGAAAAAAAAAAGAGATGAAATTAAAACAAGTCATAATTTGCAGTCTCACCTGGAAAAGGCGCTCTCGATCCAAAGTATTAGCCGTACGAGCCACAAATTGCTCACACCTGGCAACAACAGGCTTCATTTCAAATCGGGACGCCACACGGAGAACTAGTGACACGTTTGAAACTGAAATAGAAGAGGTGATGATGGTAAGAAGATGCACATGAGATTCGAAAAAAAGGAAACCAACCAGCGATAGGTTTGCGCATTGGGCAGAAGAATATACAGCGAAAGAACTCCAACATATCTGATGGTTTAATATCGTCAATTATAAGCGATCGGTGAGCATCTTCACCGAAACAATATTCGGCGAAAAACGGTGATAACTCCGCCAACCAGCCGGGATTCACAAAACTGAATAATACATGTAAACATTAGGGATCATCTCGCAGCTTCAAATTTTACTTGGAACTTCGCCTCTCTAAAATTTCTCACCTTCAATTCAACTCAGAATGAATGAATGTATCTTATTTCGAATAACTGCAAAGAAAAGCTCTCGCAATTTTCGGTGAAGCGCAAGGGAAAACTTAACAATTGCACATGGCATATCATAAAGATCACGATTAGAAGTGGAAGAAAGTTTGGTACCATA